AAAAAAAAAATAGAAGAGCGTCTGTGGACTATCCCGCTTAGCGAGCTGATAACATTTGTAGCATTTTGAAGAGCTTCTGGATAAAGAAAACAAAGCCGAGCCCCTTTGGGTTATCTGTGGCCGTGTGCGTGCCTGGTTGAGCTGCGCTTTATTCCCAGAGAAGAGTGAACGTCTGGTTCGGAGTGATGCTTGGGGGTCTGGTGCAGCCACGTGAGAGGCACAGACAGAGGTGGCAGAGGGTGTTTCCCTGTAGGAGAGTTAACACAGGAGCGTTTAATACTCAGAGTTGGCCTCCAAGTGCTCCCTTTGGCCCGTGGATACTGATTTGCCCTGACTGCCTTCCCAGGCAATCAAGGGAGACTGTCCTTCTGGCCGCAGGCGGAAAAATATTGCGTAACTTGACTCAGTTTGCCACTGTCTCTCTAAGCTACCACCTGAGCCCACCAATCCAGAACCAGGGTCTTCTTGGGGCAGTTTATTTCCTTGTAGCTGACTTGTATGAACCATATCTGGCCAGGTGTTGTCTGGTGTGTTCAGTCCAGCCTCAGGGCTCAGGGTCATGAAGGTCATAGCCTATTCACTCTTCTTTTGTTTTTTGAAACAGGGCCTGTCTCATTCTGTTGCTCAGGCTGGAATGCAGTGGCACCATCAGGGCTCACAGCAGCCTCGCCTTCTCGGGCTCAGTAGATCCTCCCACCTCAGCCTCCCAAGTAGCTGGGACAGGCATGTGCTACCACACCGGGCTAATTATTTATTTATTTATATTGACTGATTGATTGAAACAGAGTCTCACTCTGTCGCCTAGGCTGGCGGGCAGTGACCAGATCTCGGCTCATGGCAACCTCCACCTTCCAGGTTCAAGCGATTCTCCTGCCTGAGACTCCCAAGTAGCTGGGATTACAGGCACCTGCCACCATGCCCAGCTAATTTTTGTATTTTTAGTAGAGATGAGATTTTACCATGTTTGCCAGGCTGGTCTCGAACTCCTGACCTCAGGTGATCTGCCCACCTCAGCCTCCCAAAGTGCTAGCATTACAGGCGTGAGCCACCATGCCCAGCCCATTTTTTATTTTTCTATTTTTCTTTTTTTATTTTATTTATTTATTTTTTTTGAGGCAGAGTCTCGCTCTGTCGCCCTGGCTGGAGTACAGTGGTGTGATCTCGGCTCACTGCAAGCTCCGCCTCCTGGGTTCACAACATTCTCCTGCCTCAGCCTCCTGAGTAGCTGGGACTACAGGCGCCCACCACCACGCCCAGCTAATTTTTTTGTATTTTTAGTAGAGACGGGGTTTCACTGTGTTAGCCAGGATGGTCTCAATCTCCTGACCTTGTGATTCGCCCG